TTCCACTGAAACAAGAGAAAGACTAGACTTGCAAGTTAGGCACTTCATGTAGGTTCCTGGCGCTAGGAGGGAGGCATTCAAACCTAATCAAAAGTGTAAAGGAATTTTACCATATTCACAGGCCTATACTTTCGAGTGTTCCAGGATTATGACACGCTATTTGTGAGTGAACCCTGGAGTTCGGTGTCACCTTGATGCGATTCCCAGAACTGTAATTCATGCCTTTACTGTGAATTAGACACTGGGAGCTTATATCAGTGTTTCTGACTTCTAGGCAGCGAGTAACATTTGAGGAGATTTTACCATCCTCTACTCCGTTGCCTGCCTTGGATCTTCTGAAGAAACTTTTAGTATTTAACCCTGATAAACGTCTCACAGCAGAGGAGGCTCTGCAGCATCCTTATGTGAAAAGGTGAGAGTAATACCTATGTGCAGTTTCTCCTGATGTCTTCTGCAATGTTATAGACCTGCTCTTGACACAAGTTTTCTTATATACATGACAGAAAATAAAAGGACAAAGCTAATTATTCATTTTCTCTAACCCTATTCACACTAGAGCTCACACTAGATGATTTAACAATCCTGTTTAACATACTGATCTGTGGTGCCATTTCTAGGCTTTGTGAATTACATTATGTGTTACTATCTTCTTAGGTTTCACTGTCCTGACAGGGAGCCCTCTCTGGATTATGATGTGATTCTTCCTTTAGGTGATGATATCCAGCTGCCTGTGGCAGAATATCGCAATAAATTATATGAGGTACTTATCCTATTTTCCAAAATCCTAATCCTCCAGATAACCTGCCATTCTTCCACACACTTAACGAATTCCATCATTTTCTTCTATTTGTGTTCCCCTAGGCTTTCCATACATGCTCACAGTTACATCTTGGTGTTTCTTATCAGTCAGTTCCATACTGTAATAATTTTTGAGAGGTCTGAATGAATTTTAAAATTATACTTGTTACCTATCCTGTGTAATGAATTGCAGTTATTTGTAAGTCTTTTATGTTTTTTTTTCCTCAGCTCTGCTGTGTAGCTGTTTTAAGTCTATCCAACTTCTCCTTTCTGTAGATGATCCTTGAAAAGAAATTAAATAGCCATCCAAAAGAGCAAGTGCAGAGAGAAAATGTCCAACTAAGTCAGTCTGAATCCAGGACACTTCTTCCGAATTCCAGTTCTGTGACTCTGTCTACCAGGAAAGGCCAGGAAGAACCAATACCGCCTGCTATAAAAACTTCACATGTGCATGCTGGAACTACAACTAGTGTCCAGCCAGAAGTACCACGCAGGAATGAAGATTTAGCAAGAACTTTATGTCAGAGATCAAAGATCAATGTGATATACAATCCCATAACACACACTGCTGTTGAAAGTAGGTACTACACTCCTACAGTGCAATTAATCCACCATGAGGCGTTATTATGGAGAAGAAAGAAGAAAAGAGATTGAGTGGGGAAAAAGAAAGAAGGGGAATTCACATGGCAAAATGAGAGGGTGAAACTGTGGGAGGAAAATTACAAGAACAAAACACTGTTGAATGAGTTTTGAGTGTATGACATTCTCTTTGTCTCTTTCCTGCCTCAGTCTTGATTCTGTGTTCCTTTCTGTTTTCTCTTTCCTTCTCTACTGTTGTTCTGTTTTCTTCTCTCTGCTGTTTCTTCTCTCTTCTGTTTCTTCTCTCTGCTGTTATGTTTTCCCTTGCCCTTTTGAACTGCTTTTGTTTACTACTACATTCCAGTTTTGTTCTGAATATTTTTGTTCTGTTTGTGAGATGAAGCGAGGTGGCAGGGGCTGACTCAGTTTTTATATTCTGTCACTGCAGCAGTCAGTGTGTTCTGTGTGCTCATGTTTTACCTACTTTCTCTCATGTGTTTTCTTCTGCAGATAATCCAAATTCTGGTCCTATGATGAGGAACTGTTCCATGCCACCTTCTCAAATGGCCAGAATCTCCAACATTAGGAAAGTGGGGAGACAAATCACAAGGGCAAATGCAAATGCTCGGCTGCCTCCTACAAATGTACAGAACCTTTATATTGTGAGTAGCAGTCCTACAAAAAAAATACCCTTAACTTTTCATGGACCAAAATTATATAGACACAAAATTTGCAACTTTGTAAAGATACTGAAATGAGGGGCAAGACATCTTGCTCTGTGAGTGGCTAAAATGATAATTTAAAAAAAATTACTTATGACAAAGATATACACTGCAATTTTGTTGCTTGTATGTAGTGTTCGTCAAACAGTATCAGTAACCTAGTTTGCTAAGGCAGTTGGGCTTGTATAGGGTATGTTCCCTTTACCAGAGAGCTGAAGAGTGTGCTAACTGAAGAGTTTCTGCTAGTAGGGCAAATAACTAGACGTAACTTGCATATTGCAGTCTTCAGTGTTGCCGTACCTACATTTCATACCTGTTTTCTCTAAGTTTATGACCCTAAGTTAAGTTCTGTGCGTAAGGCAGAGTGTTGACAGGAAGACCATCTATAGTAATCACCAGGAAACACCAAGGGCACAGATGTGGCTTAAACCTTACATCTCCAGCATATGTAATGCTGATCTTCAGCTAACTTTCTCCTGTAGTTTTAAGTCTAACCCCAGTCTTTCAAAAAACCTTATCACCTGTGACTCAAGCAGCAAGAGTGGCTATAGGTTTATGCAGGAGTTCTGCAAATGACTGCTGAATTTAAGTATGGGAATTATGTACTTCAGCGAACATGAATACAGCCCTTTGGTAAATCTAGATCTCTGCCTCATTAGTGGTATTTTTTTTCACAAAGATTAATTGTAATGGATCGTATATGTCAGCTAACTGTAATCAAAAGAAAAGTAAAATTATCTCTGCAGGTTCTCTGCCTCTACTGCTTTTGCTCATTTTGAGGTTTTTAACGCAATGTCTTTTGAGATGTGCTGAGATATATGACTTTTTTTTCCATTGTCCTTTTTCTAGAGGATAGGCTAATTTCGGACTCCATTCTACTTTTAATTTTATCACTTCAGACAAGTGAGGATTTGAACACCATTTCAGATTACCACATTGTTCAGTTTGTCAGCAGCACCAAAAACTCCCTTTGACTTTGAGAGTCACAGATCAGTTGCTTTTACATTATCTTCAATGATGGCTTGTCCTGTCCAAAGTGTGTAGATAGCAAACTCTTTTTTTTTAACCAGATTGAGATTGTTGGATATTCCAAAATTAGCTGGAGAATTTGTACTACCTCTGTAATCAACCTGATGGACTGCTGTTGCTGAACAGTGAGGGTTTCAGTCCTGTCCTCTCTGCTTTTCCCTCTTCCCTGTTCTTGGCCACGCTTCCCTGTAAAAGTTCTTGTCCTCATTGGTTTTTAAATGACCTCCTTGCCCCTGCTTTTTCTTCTTCCTGAGCTAGTCATCTTCTGACTAGCTCAAGGAGAGTCTATCTAACACAAGGTGATCAGAGAAAGAATATGGAACGAGGCACCACAGATTACCTTTTTTGTGACACTAAAGATTGACTTCTTTGTTGTGAGACTTTCTCGCATCCCCATAAAAGAATACTTGAGTGTCTGTGTGCTGGAGCTCCAAACCATTCAAATGTATTGTAATGTATTACAGATTGTAATTTATTATCAGCCTTTTCCCACAGGGGCTGGTAAACACAAGCTGTATCTATATGCAGCTTCCAGCTCAGAAAGTCATCAAGCCTTTTGATTGGCAGAAGCCAAGAGGATATACTGGGGAATGATGATGATGATCTGTCTTTTGTACATACATTTGTACAGCCACTACTATTGAAAACAAGATACTAGCCAAACAGGCCTTTGGACTTTTGCTCCAGTGCACCATTAGTTTGTCCTATCTTGCTCCAGTGCCACTAGCTCATTCTTGATACCCCCGTTCTTAAGCCTTTCTCCCTCACATCATTCTCACCATCCTATTCTTGGATCTTACTAAACAATCTATTTTGTTTATTATTCATATAACATTCATAATCTGTCCTGCTCCTCAGCTGAAGCAGAATCTGTGTTTCTTCTTTGTTTTAGAAAGCTGATTACATGTTACTATCGGCTTTTCTTTCTTGCACAGAATCCAAGAATTACTCAGTTGCACAGCAAAGATGTTCGTCCCCTTCTGAAGTCCAGTAAAAAGATGTTCCAGATTACTGCAAATATGGGAGCTGCTGGTGATCCGAAAGCATCGATGGGCAGTTACTCCCAGGCATATGGAACCATATGTAAATCTGCCCTGCAGAGTCTCCCAATATCAAAGTCCTCTCAACAACATGAGCAGTGAATATGGAAGTGTTCTAACCAGGTGAAGTACAGCTCATCTTATCAGTTCCCTAACTCAGCCAGTAACAGCAAGTGAGAGCAAAATATGACAGGTATTTGACAGTTACTTTGCACTGAACAATGTAATACTTTCCTCTAGACAGACCAACAGGATAGAGAATCTAATCCCTTTGCCTTCCAGTCTTAACAGACAAGGGCACAGCACTATTTGCTCCATTACCATAAGAACAATGAACGCCATCAGTTCATATTCCTTGTTTGAACTAGTGCAAAGAATTACAGAAAACTGCAATATTCTGATACTTGAATGTATTCAAACCTATTCAAGGCCTTTAGATGTATTCAGGGCCCATGTGAACCTCATGAAGTTCAACAAAGCCAAGTGCAAGGTCCTGCACCTGGATCAGGGCAAGCCCTGGTATCAATACAGGCTGGGAGATGAAGGAATTGAGAGCAGCCCTGCAGAGAAGGACTTGGGGTTACTGGTGGATGAAAAACTGAACATGAGCCAGCAACGTGCGCTTGCAGCCCAGAAAGCGAAGTGTCTCCTGCGCTGCAACAAAAGCAGCGTGGCCAGCAGGTTGAGAGAGGTGATCCTCCCTTTCTACTCAGCTCTCGTGAGACCCCACCTGCAGCAATGAGTCCAGCTCTGGTGTCCCCAGTACAAGAGAGATGTGGACCTGTTAGGGCAGGTCCAGAGCAGGGCCAAGAAAATGGTCCAAGGGCTGGAACACTTCTGCTATAAGAAAGGCTGAGAGAGTTGGGGTTGTCGGCCTGGAGAAGAGAAGGCTCTGGGTATATCTTACTGCGACCTTTCAGTACTTAAAAGGGGCTTATAAGAAGGACAGAGAGAGACTTTTTACCAGTAACTGTAGTGACAGAACAAGGGGCAATGGTTTTGCACTGAAAGACGGTAGGTTTAGATTGAAAATAAGGAAGAAGAGTGGTGATAACACTGGACCAGGTTGCCCAGAGAAGTTGTGGATGCCCCATCATTGGAGGTGTTCAAGGTCAGGTTGTATGGGACTTTGAGCAACCTGGTCTAGTGAAAGATGCCCCTGCCCAAGGCAGAGGGGTTGGACTAGATGATCTTTGAAGGTCCATTCTGACCCATTCAGTGATTCTTTAGCAGTTTCAGGTGCATTGCCTAAATGCAGATTTTTTTCTTGATGAAAACAGGTAACTAAGTGTTCTCTGAAGACCAGGAAGACTAAACTCTTGACCTATTCTTAATGCCCTTTATTTTGTTTTCCACTAATTTCTATGACTCTTCTGGGGTAAATGAACATAATCGGTGGTGGCTTATTTACAGAATCACAGAATGTTAGGGATTGGAAGGGACCTTGAAAGATCATCTAGTCCAATCCCCCATTTATTTTCATTAAAATCAAGTAGAAAAGCATTTTAAATATAGGTGGGTTCTGTTACAATATTTAATAGCTTACCTACCATGTAATATTGTAATAATAAATACTTTATATTGCACTACAGAAAATATGTGTCTTTCAGTCAATGTTTGCTGTGTGTGAAAGGGAAAAATAGAGGGGTATCTTGTTCAGTGAATAATATGTTAATTTTTCTTTCTTTCAGAAAGCAAGATGAAAAGATGAAAGCATCTTCCAAGAGATGCTATTGCTGAAACATCATGAAGTTGTTACCAGTCCACAGTGGGGCTATAGTAAACTTTAAAACTATATGCCTGTTTTAATGCTGATTTTCGATACATTCTGCTCATTAACTTGAAGTCCTTATAAGAAGTCTCTGTCCTTGAAATTTTACTCCACCTATGATAAACGATTGTTATTCCAGAACGTTGGGACTACAGTTACAGAGGGGATTCAGGCACTAAATTCCAACATGTGAGTACCACTGCCATCAACAGAAAGTTTCTCTTTTAGTACCTGAGCACCAAAGTTTAGTTAAGTAAAAAACCAGTACATTCACTTCTGGTACCAGATGTGGTCACGTAAGTCTGGTAATACTAGGGTGCTAGGAATGCAGCTAACAGGGAAGTCCTGGTTTATTCTGGTATATTCATAAAACAGGCATTTCCTGTCTATCTCAGGTACAGGCAGATATAGTAAATGGCAATGTCAGGGTGAACATGTTGTGTAAGCAGTGCTCCGTGCAGCATGTTGGCTCTTGTCAGTCTAAGATGCCAGTTCTCATGCATGGAAAAAGAAGCCTACTGCTTAATTCAGGGTTGTGACTTCCACTGAAAGCCTAGCACCTTGCAATTTGATGATATAATGCAACATCTAAGATCCTCTGTGAACCTAGTCTCAGACTGAGAGGTGATGGACTGTAACATTAACTTTTTATTAATTGAAATGGCTTATTACCAAGTGAATTAGTTATTCTGTGATATTTGTAAACACCTACAACATCTGATAATCAACATATCGCTAAAAGAGATGAGTCTAGTTCTGTTCAGGACCATACTTTTACACTGAATGCACCACGCTGAGCAAGATAAAATTATAAAAATCTAAACAAATACAGCAAAATTCTAAAATGTTAATGTAATCTGTGACTGTAGAAATAATTACATTTTTAACTTGTCTGTAACAGAACGATGCTGGAGCAGGTAGGTTTGGGAAAGACTGGAGAGGTATGGAATCATGTGAGTAAGAATTACACAAAATAGGGCTAGCATATATATAATAGAATATATATAATATATAGCCTATCTTCCTCTCTAGAGTAAAATAATCTCTATGTGTATCATCTGGCAGAGAACAACTGTATTGCTCATTACAGTTCATTTTGGGACCCACCAATAACTGGATCTATTTAATTACTAAAAGCAGACAAAATAAGTATACATACAGCATTCGTTTATGAATTTGCATGTATGTAACAGATTATGGGTTGTATCTGAAATTATATACATTTATACAATATGGAATAAGTGTAAGAAATCCATTTCAGCTTTTTTCCCAGTATTGGTCACTTCTCTCCTTTTTTTTTTTTCCTTTTTTCCTCTCTTTATTTCTCAGTTTACCTCCTCATGTTAAAATGGTAACTCCTCTTGATTCTTGGAGATTTTTAGCACCATCTGTATTAATATGGAAATCAGCTTAATTTTTTTTTCAGATCAGACAATCTTATCTTTCTGCACATTCATGTCCCGAGTTTTTCAACAAACAGTAAAGTAATAATTAATTGTTACAGATATGTAAATGATATAAAGCCTGTTAAATTATATAAAGCCTGCTACCATGGGAGCTGGCATCCTAAAAAAAAGCTAAAGTTTTAAAGATCCTACTAAAGTTACCTTCAGGAACCGATGCAGTCTCTTGCCTCCATCTATCAGACATGTACCCGAACTAGTTTGCTGAGCTTGCAACTGGTGTCACAAGTGGGTCATCATAAAACCCAGGCTAACGGGAATGGGAAATTCAGAAGCCTAGTTCCATGTGAGAACATTCTTCCCTGTCATCTCTTTAGACTACGGCACAAAGATCGGGGGGAAAAAAAAAAAAACAAATTTGGCAATCCTGCTAGATATCAAGCAGAGACAGTCCAAGATGAGGAGAAAAAACAAACAGCTAAGTAACTCAACAGTATGTACTGCATGTTCTTGATAGCCTCTGTCACTACCTTCTGTCCTGTGAGACACTCTGATGCAACAGCTTGAACCTACAGGCTAATCTGGACTGTTTAAAAGCTGCATGGTTAAGTTTGGTACCAAACTACTACAAGAAAGTTACATGAGATAAAGCACTTCTGAGCTTGAAAATTCCAGCAGCCTTATTCCTTCCAATATTATGACCCCCTTCAGTCCTTGTCTTCACATGGAAAGACGTGCTAACAAATGAACGTCTCCTCCTCACAATCACTTAATGAATTTGAGTGAGATTGACAAGGAAGATACTACTTGGCCAAGACAGCATTTTAGATGCTTAATTAAACTCCCAGCTCAGCTGAAAGGGAGTCCTAAAACCAGGTCTTTCTCCATTAATAGCATGTCAGTTTCCTTTTTTTATGGTCTTTCAGCTGCTGCTTTCAGCTCACCCTCTAAAGCAATGCTTCCATTAGACATAAGGAAACAAACCAGTAACAAAACAGAATCAACAGGCTTAGAAAATGGTAACTATGAACGCTGAGCATGTACTGCTGGACAAGACCATAACCACAGATAAGGGCAAAATGTTGTTTACAATATTTTTTTCTCATGTAAACCTTCAAAACGTGCCTCCTTTATCTGATTTATTAGATACAAAGAAAATATAACTGTACCTGAGAAACAGTTGTTTTGTAAACACTTTTTCCAGTTAATGCATATGCACGTGTCTGTGTGTATTTTTCTGTCCTGGACTGAACTCAAGTGTTGAATTTTCTGGTTTTTATTCTTCCCTTCTGAAAGTGGAATTGTTTTGTCTGATGAAAATATTCCCTGACTGTAACATAAAGAGACTCTTATTTTACTTCTTTGTTTTAAGCATCTTGGCAATTTAATAATTTTATTTGAAACATACTGTGATAAGGTTGCCTGATACCACATGACTTTATTGGGCAGATTGTGCCATTGGAGTCTAATGCTGAACACATTTCCACTCACTAACCACGAAGAGTATTGCCTATGGTGCTTATAGCCATCATGAACAACTAACTTCCTCATTCCCCTTTGACAGTCAGTGATTATATGGAATTAAATAGTATTTCTGTGATCATTTTTTGGTTTTGAAGGTCCCCAGGATTTTGGGCATGAATTTTCCCATCTTCTTGTCTTTGGCATCTGTGTCATATTCCTCTTCACTTTGACTTGTATTTTCATCCTTTTTGCAGAAGACCTCAAATCTACTGTAGACTCGCTTCTCCTTCCGCATATTCTCCATTTTTTTCAGAAGGGTATCTCTATCCTCTGATGGTTGTCGCTGAAGATTTCGTTTCTGGCTCCCAAAACTCTCTGACCTGTGGATGTTACAGCTTTTTTCCTTCTCACCTTTCCTTTCCAAGCTTGTAGTTGACTTAGAAAGATCAGGATTACTAGTGGAT